CTCATAATACTGGTAATTGATTCTTGTTAGCATCAAGAGAGGAAATAAATGAATGCAGATGGTCTGTAACTACATAATTGCTGAAAATTTAAACGACAAATTATTGTATCTTCAACCAACAATACTTTTTTAAACCCTGTTTAGAATCTTCATATTGTCTTTTTTGTACTCTATTGATGCAACAAAGTAGTAAATAGTTTCAAACATACTGAGTTGCATTTGTCTTGTAACACCTGATGTGTAAAATAATTTTATAAATATAATTCTGTGGTGAAATTATTACTAAAAGGATGGCATCCATCATTAGCATCCATACATCATTCAGAGATTGTGCAATATGTTCTACTTGTGTCATCTTGCCCCTAAAACAAGCAAAGTAACAGTCATTACTGGTTCATCACTGAATCAGCAAGCAATGCATCAAAATATAAGATGTTTCATTTTTTTAATACAAAGTGCTACATATATATGTACATTACTGTTAATTTGAAAGGGAGGTGGGCGACCTATTGGTTAACATGTGAGACCATAGAACAAGAATTGCCATTAAAATGTTAACCAGGGTCATTGTGCTGTGTTCTTGGGCGAGATGCTTACTGTATCTCTCCCTTTACCTCTTGCCACCCAAGTGTATATTAAATGGATTCAATAGAACTTTAAGGGTGAGTTCCCAAATTGCAGGGGAGGGGGGGGGGGGGGGGGGGGGGGAGGGGGGGGGGACGTGCATTGTATTAATAAAAAAGAAGAAGAAGTAAAGTAACCGATAGACAGTATCTCAAAAGATTTTTATCTGTATATAATCTCTTGATCAGCTTTATCAGTTCATCACTGAGGCCCTATTAGGGGTTTTCAGGATNGGGGGACTTGTGATGGACTAACATAACTAAGGGTTAACAAAACGTTTTTCGCCACACAAACTGAGTTAACCTCAAGTGGTGTGGTTATTTTTGAACAGGAGCACACTCAACATTTTGGATGACAGATTGCAGTTTAAAGTTAACAGTTCATACCTGCAGGTACTGTTCTAGATTTAGCAGTGTGGAGATGGCCTGGCCCATAGAGATAGTAACACCTCTTTTCAAATGCCTTTACCATTTTTTTCACCACTTCATCAAAGAAGACAGTTGAGAGCTTAGAATGGAGAACAGATCGAAACTCAAACTCTATCTGCAAGGAAATGAAAGTTTCAATCTTTAGTTGCTGAACATGTTGACTTCAATAACTTAATGATAGAGTGGTTTTCAATGAGTGTCGTAAAACCAAAACCAAACCAGTTACTTACCAATTAGACCACTCAGCCAATTTTGAGCCGTAGTTAAAACCAAAACCAAAGTAATTGCTTGATTACTTTCAACACTCATGTGAAAATCGCTCTTAAGTTATAATACAAGAGCTCAAGAACTTAATCAATTTTTAAAGCCATGTTAAATTATTTCAAATTTCTCTGGCTTTTTCTTCAAAATGTCAAATTTCCCTGACTCAAAATAACATTCCTTGACTTTTCCCTGACCTTGATGATTTTTTTCCCAGACCATTTTCTGACCTGTGGCAACCATGTAAGAGCAATCCAGGTTTAGCATCACAACATTCTTGTCTTGTCCAATATTATTCTAGTTAATTAACATGATTGAATTATGTATCATGTCATACATCCTAATTTATGACTAGCTCTGTGAGTGGGCAAGATGAACCAAATTCTGTGCTGTAATTGGCTAGCGGGCTTGATGATGCTTTCTTGCCCGCTTGAGATAACCTGTTGTGTCCTGCAAGAATATAGTGTTCTTTTTCCTTATATCAATCCTTTGTTGACCAAGCTCATGTTTGGTCAAGATGGCTGGATATTGGCCTCGCTCTTTTAATGTGTGTTTATGGACCTTGGTTCCCTTGGCACGCGGTTCATAAACATGCACAAAAATAACTTCGCCAATATCCAGCCATCTTGACCTCACTCTTCATCAAAAACCCATAGACATGTTTCAAGTCTAAACAACTTACATAAAAATCCAGTGTGCAAGTATTAGGGTTTCCAGGTAAACCTGAACTAAATTTCCAAACAGTCTTCATGTAGTTGAACATCTCCCCATCTGTGCATTCAGCCTGTCATAATTAAAAATTACGTATCATAAATAAAGAAGAAACAGTTCTGTGTAAGATATGCGGTTTGGAAAAACTCTAGACCAGGGTGCATTCCGCAAGACTTCCACACCAAAGATACGCCAAGGCTTTTTAAATTCCACCCCAACAATTGTGGCTTTGCCACTCACTGTTAGCAGCTTCCCCATGAGAAAAAACCCTCTTGCACCAAGGGTACCACGAGCCTGGCAAGCAGCCAAAGTCCTATACTGCTCTTCCCAGATAATCCCAATTTTCTTCATATTAAGTTCACTGGGAAACTTTAGGGTCAACGGGATCATACAAGATACCCATTATTGGCCAGGACACAGTATTCAATATGGGATAAAATAAAGAGAAGATAAAACTCCACTGTAATCACACCAAGTTGCCTAAGTTACGTAGTTCAGCCTTTATATGCCACAAGCAAATATAAATGTGAACGCTGCTATATGCCAAATACTCCAATTGCATGCTGGTACACTGCAAAATTTTATACGCCACAAGCAAATATAAATGTGCATGCCGCCATATGACTCCAATTGCATGCTGGCACACTGCAAAATTTTAAAGGAAGGCCACGCCAAAAATCTTTGGCATAACCCACACTGTATGCACCCTGGGTTCTAGGATAAGAAACAAGGCCAATACCTTGACTAAGTTTGGTGCAACCATAGTTACAACAGAATTATACTTTTCCACCACAGGTGGGAAGCCGACAGCTAGTTTTGCTTTCAGGTAACCTGGCTTCCTGGACAAAATTGCAGAGTCCCTACACCAAGGAACAAAGTGTTTGTAATCCTCAACATCTGACACAACTGCATACATGTCCTCCATTGAGTAACTGAGGAAAGAAAAAGTAAAGTTTTTGCCCAATTATACAAGAAAAAATAACGAGAATGAATCCAAGTATACAGTAATAATAATAAAGATATTTTAACAGGGAGCCCACGTCACATATGTGATTTTCAGAGGGGCTCTGCAAGACTAAAAACGTTAGCTATTCTACACAACTATCTACATACATGTATACATTAAATTATAAAATAAAATAATTATTAAAAACTACTGTTGAGGTGTCCTTAAAAAGTACAAATATTGGAACTGTTCCTAATTGCACCCGGTAAAGTGTTACAATGATTAATGGCATGGTAAACAAAACGGTTCTGGCCCCAGGAGCGACGTGATTGAGGCTTACAAATGTTTTTACTTGAACATCAACATATATTAGTTGCTTTTTGTGTTTGCGTGACCTTGGTCTAGAGCAAGACTAGTCAAATAATAATAAATACTGGTTTCAGCTTAGGGGCCTTATTTATTGCTTTAGTCAAGGCTTCTAAGCAACGTCAAATGAGCCACGTTTACTAAGGCACATATTACTGGTAAATTTTATAAGCCTACAGTACAAGCGTACTCTACAAAGTTGTACCAAAACAGCTGACCTTACCCAAGCAGTCGCCTTTCGGAATACTTTTTCCTCCGAGAAGCACTGAGTGGATTCGGAATAAAAGATCCTATTAACGTTCTTCTTGGTTCTCGGTTTAGGTAAGTGAATTTAGTGTCACGAGAGCTGTAGGTTTTATCCCTCAATATTGCGTCAAAACCCGGCGAAAACCGGCATCAACACAGCCTCAACGACCTGTGGGAAAAAAAAAACATTCTCAGAGTTTTAAACGAAAGCATCTAACGAATAATCACTGGAAACCTTAAGGCATTCGCTTCTTTTAACAGCTAGTATTTTCAAGTACCTGTTTGCTTGCCAGACAACTCCAGGATGTCGAAACAGCGGCAAGGATCTTCGCATCCCGACCGCCGCCATTTTGAACAAATAATGACTGATCGATATTTCGTCATTTTGATTACTAAGTAATACACTTGACCAGGTTACCAAGCAAAACAAACATGGCGGACGGATTCGGTTTTTGCCGAATGGCGAAAAGTAACAGCAATCTTTTTGTGGCAAGAGATCTTGGTAAGGAAATACAACGAAAAACATTTAAAGTATGTAATTTTACATTCTAACCCTGTGGGTTTTTAATGAGATATTTATCTTTGATGCAATTTTCCTCATTACTATTTTCAGCTTCATCTGTCAAAACACTTTTGGGACCACTGCACAGGTATAATAATGCAATTTTTTTCAAACATGTTTTTTTTGTTTTTGTTTTTATTATTATTGATTAAAAGTAACACATCAAATTACACGTATCACAAATTACAAAATACAACAACAAAGTACTGTGCCATGGCTACTTCGATACTACAGTGTACATTACTTATTTACAGCAGGTGTTACTTACTTACATTAGGAAAACGAAAGAAAATAAAATAACTAATTAATTCTGACAACACACATTGTGGTTTCTCAGGCTTATTGATTATTTTTGTAATAGCAGAATGAATAATGACTTGTATTCTTTGGTCTAATTTAAACTTACATGTAAAACCGTAATTCTTTATTTTTTATATTTTCAAAATTACAGCATTGTTAGATTTGAAAGTAGTGAACACATGTACATGCACCACAGAAAACTTAAGTATTCATCACTTGACTGACTCATCACGACTGACTGACTGACTGTCTGTATGACGACTGACTGAATGACTGGCTGTCTGACTGACTAATTGACTGACTGACTGACTGACTGACTGACTGGCTGGCTGGCTGTCTGTCTGCTGACTGACTGGCTGGCTGGCTGGCTGACTGACTGACTGTCTGTCTGTCTGTCTGACAGTCCAACCAACCGACTTACTGACCAAATAAATGAATGATATGTTTGTCGTGTTCCCAGTTTGAAATGCTGTTTGTCAGATGATGAGGCTGTGATGTGCAGCAGTACGTCCAAGTTGTTGCAGTTCATTGACATACAGGTATGTAATTTCTATATCACTGACATCTTTGGATAGGTGAAAACTGCAACTACAATGAGGCATGCATGGTATTGATTTGCTGATGTGGTAAGTCTCGCGTTTGGAATACTAACATGAAACTGTACACAGATGTAGAATGACATTTTCCAATGCCCTCAAACTCCTAAACCTCCTAAAAATCATTTGGAAGACCTAAAAAATTGTCTACAACAAAGTGTCAATTCCAAAGTATCTCACAGTTGTTTTGTTACTTAAATATCTGTAGCATCCAGCTGGTTTTGTTATTAATGATGCTTGCCAAGGCCAGTACAAGAAATACAGGACAAACTGCAAAACTCTGGTCTGCTTGGCTGGTTTCTGGAGCACAGCAGTGCATGATTTACAAGATCAGGTAGATGACATTTTAAATGTCTATCTTGATACATTTTCAATAGACAAGTTACTGATGAATTAATAATAATAATAATAATAATAATTTATTTCTAGCACATTACATTAAGAAATCTCAATGCTCTTACAGAATAAAAATGAGAAAAACGATAACGAAACCAATATAAGGAAATATATTAAATTACAATGGATGATAAACGTCACGTTAATCATTATTACACCACAGGGTGTCCCTGTTCCAATCATTGTACGTCTTCTTGATGATGCATTGGAAGTGTGTGAAACGGTTTGTCAAGAAATGTCCATTCCAGTTTTTGAAGCTTTGCAAGGTCACCTGATGTCAAACTCAGCTCCTAATGGTGATGATGTGGCTGGCCTGGCAGAAGGCAAGGGATCAAATGTGGGATCTTCACGTGGTCTTGGTGAAAGATCAGAAAAGTTGGAAGAGAGTGATGTTGACAATGATTTTGGGGATGACAATGACATATCATGGTATTTCAATGGTAGAATCTCAGGGGTTGATGGTCAAATCCTAGGGGTTGATGGCCAAATAGCAGGGGTCTACAGTCACATCCCAGGGGTTGATGGTCATATCCAAGGGGGTGTTGGCCATATCCTAGGAGTTCAAGCTCACCTCACTGGGACTGATGTCAATATCCCATTTGGAACTAATACGGGGTTTATTAAAGACTTTTGCCTAACAATGGAACTTCCTCACAGTGATCTACTGGAAATGACAAGTTCTGACAAAGAGATTAGCAGAGATCTACGTTCAGTCAACAGCGATGAGACCTCAAGGAATGTTTTGTCAGAACATGGCAAGCTTGTAGTGAACATGGGAGACACAAATGCTCACAGTAAAAATATTTCATCTCCTTGGGTCAATGCAAGAAAGCCAGGAGCATTCCCCAATGCACCAAATAAAACTATGTTGTCAGTAGAACATAAAGACAGAGACTTGAAACTCAGCTCACCAAAGAAAGAAGGAACCTGCAATGCAGACAATGTTCCAAACTCACCTTCAGAATCACTGGAGTTCACTAGTGAAACTTTATCGTCAAGAATAGAAAACGAAAATGAAGGCGAAGATGAATTTGAAGCGTCATTTCAAGAGGTGGTTCGTAATTCTGTTAACGAAGATCTAGGAAGGAACATAGCTGAATTAACAGTTCAAAAGGAGAGAAATGACAAATTTCCCTCTGAAGTTAGAAGTAAAAGAAGCACTGAGACATGCCATAAAACAAACTGCTCAAAATTAGAAAATACCGAAGTGGAATCTTCTCACATTATGAATAAGAAACTTGTGAATCCACTTAGTCTTTCTTCGTCTCGTTGCAAAGACAAGGAAGAAAGCGATAAATTGCTGTCTCTTCTGTCAGCAAAACTAGAAAATAAGAGCAAAGCTTTCGGAAGAAAGGTTAAAATGGCGGAAGTATTCAAGGGGAGTAGACATTTTAGGCAACGTTCAACGGACGAACTCTTTTCAGAGAACACTTCTGCAAGTATTGTAAATCCAACTACAAACATTTCATGTAATGGCAAAACGCGCGTAAAACGTGAAACCTCTTCAACAAGTAAAACCAGTTTACAGTCTTTGCTCAAAACAGGTCAAGCTGGAAAACCAGCTTTGGTAAATTCAGCACCACATGATAGGAAAACTGGCAAGGAAAATTTTGCAGAACAAAATCAAGATAGGTCCACCGTTGTTCCAAAGCAAACAGACGAATTGAAGTTAATTGAAAGACACAAGCAGCTGTTATCAAAGCTTGGAAAACGTCTCTCTCACGGCAAGGAAAAAGAAATGCAACTTGCCATTGAGGTGGTGAATTCCCTCCTCCTGTCTTCGGGTAAAATTTCACTACAAGAATTGGAAATTCCTTTAAGAATGATTCACGCAGAGTTGGTTCAAGGCCCACCAAGTTCTTTCTCCCAGAGAATGGACGGTCTCCTGTTGGAGTGCACTACATGGTGTAACACTGCTTTAAGAAGTCGCAGGTCGGTGTCTGAATCGCAAGTCTCTGTGGCCCTTGTTAATGGCGATGTTACCGAGGAATTTCGCCACGTGGGGCTAAACAAAGAATACCCAATTCACAGAATCATCGAGAATGAAGATGATTTTAAAGCATCTTTTTTCAGTCAGGGGAAAGACTGGCATCAGCGCGTAACAGAAACCCTCCGTAAGCACAAAATTGGTCTTCTTGTCGTGAAAGGAATTGTACAGGATTCAGTTCGGGATTTTTGTTCATCTCAAGGTATAGAGGTGCTTCAAAGCATTGCATATCCTGCTCTTCAACTCTTGTCCTACGCTACCGACTCCACAATAGTAACCTATCTTGCTGATTTAAGGGAGCAAGATATAGGAAGACCTGTTACCATGGAAACGTGGGACGTCGGCTGGGCACCTTCTTTGGTGAGACGGAGCAAGTCCAAAGCTGGGGACGATCATGAAGTCAAAGGCATCAAGGCCTGTCACTATGTCCTCGTTAAAGAGGAACCCAAGGGGACAGCAAGCTGGAAAGGTGATGTACTTTAATTACACGACTAAGTTTATAGTTCACTGAAAGAACCAGTAACTACAATCAGCCAACCAAATTGCTCTGTCCTCAATCAGAATAGCGCTCTTGAAGTATGCCTTGCTTTTCCAGTCTGTAACCGTGGGATTCCTATGAAACATTTTCCATCGTGTAACAAATCTCTTATTAACCAAGCTTGCTCAGGACCGCACTGGGAGAATATTGGCCCTTGATCTTTTTTGTACAGACATTGCCATGCTCGGTTCGTACAGCCAATACCTCGGGCTGATGTTCTCAATACAAGTCAATACAGCTAGCACGCTCGGTGGTTATACCGGGCTGTTGTTGTTAAAAAGGGACTAGTTCTATCGGGGCTATCATTGGGGCTCCATTTAGGCTCGATTGCCAGCCGCTGTTCGGGAAAGGAGCCCGCGCTCCTCCCCCGAAGGCAGGAAACGTGGACCGGAATGGAGCTTAGGTTCCATTATATCACTCAATATCACGATCTTGATTCTCAACATCAATTAAATTAGTTTTATTCCTAATTTACTCGTCTATTACTCTCAGATTCGTGCAGTCCACTACAGACAGTGCTACTATGCAGCCCTAGTAAAGATGTTCTTTGTGACATGGAAGAACGGTTCTGGAATTCCATTTATCGTTTGAAGAATGCCCTCTCTTGTGGCCGAGTGCTGCCTGGGGCAGGAGCAATTGAGATCGCTTGCATACGGCGCCTGAAAAAAGCGGGTAGGAACAGTGGTTACCAGTTCCTTCCATAATACATCGGTGTTACGCGGTTACTTATAATAAGATGGTATCCTAGTCCATCGTAGGACCTCTAGCATTTTGTCCTGTAGCCTTAGTTTACAGTTCACTGGCGCCAGTTTATACACCTGGATGAAGACAGCCACAGTGAGAGTTGTGTCTTTCCCAAGATAGCCTCTTCCAGTCGTTCACTTTGCTGGGCGACGCGCCAAAAAAATAAAAAAAAAGCGCTTTCTCTCGCCGCTTGTTTTTTCGCTAAATGAACGCCTGGAAGAGGCTATGCCCGAGAACACAATGTAATAACTCCAACTAGGACTCGAACCCAGACCGTTCGATCAGCAGTCCAACGAATCAACCATAAATCCACCTGTCTCCTCCCCCCACCCCTGCCCACCTACTGCGTCTACCCCCTGTAATGTGTTTAATAACTAATAATAGAGTGAACACGTGAAAGACCTCAATTTTGACTAGAAGGGATTTGCCCGAATTGCGAGCACAGTTTGCTCTGACGCACTTCTATTTCTAGAGAATGAATGGTGTAGTTATTTTCCTTGTGAAATAAACATAACAAAATTTAAGACCGAAAACCTTAAAACGTTCCATTCGGTCAATACATCATAGATATCTGCTAACAATTCTGTGTTTTTCGTTTTTGTTTTTTTTTTTTGGCAGGCGAACAAAGGGAACCGACTTTGTCACTCAACCCTCTTTCAGGTTGGTTACAAGAAAGCTTGGAGATTTTCAGACCTGTGGTGTACACAGCATTTGCGCAAGGTTTCAAAGAATTTTTGGGGAACGTTCTTTATAACTCCGGGGAATTTGCCGCTCTTTGCGGAGTGTCTACCCGTGTTGAACAGGTGGTTAACTCGGGATGTTCTTTGGGTAATCTTGAATGTTTCAAATATGAACGTTCTGAAGACGATCAAAGTGAACTCCAGATCACGGCAGGAATCACGCGACATCACGCGACAGCACACGTTTCTGACATCCCTGCGTGTAATGCTGCGGGTTTCAGCGTTGATAGTTTCCAAGATCCCGTTGCGTCGAAAATTTTGTCTTGTAATGCAGAAAGCGATGTATGGGATGATTATACCGCTAAGAAAGAAGCATGGAGGCGCGCTGTTGGTATAGTAAGAATTCTGCTTCAGTCAGACTTGTTGGTAGAAACGGGATTAACGCGCAACGACAAAGAAGCTGTTCTCTTTTGAAGGCCTCATTTTCCTTGCGGTTAACCTGATAGCAAGCATCAGTTCCAATACGAACGAAAGAGCGTTTTCCGCTTTCTGGCCGCGCCCTTCGGTTTTTTTCTCTCGCCCCAATATTCGTGCAACCAGCAGGCGAGAAACTCTGCTCGTACGGGAACGCTTATCTCGCAGGCTACCGTACGGTCTTTTTCACCTGCACTTTGCTTTTTGCTGTTTCGTTAGCTGATCTGAGGAACGAAAGTAATAATAACCAGTAGCTAAAGAAGACTCTGTATTCTTTTATCCTTCACTCTCTCGCTAGTTGAGATATTAACACAACCTGGACATGAAATAAGAAATCTATAAACTATCCTCTTTCTCCAAAATTTGGCTTGTACTAAGCTAGCGGATTTCTATGGAGAGGAGCAACTTGATATAAGAAACTTTTCGTCTTATGATGCACTTGATAGAGGTTTTCCGATTTTTTATTTCGTTAATTCACTTTTTTTTCCAGATTCAAATTTAAGGAACCGTCGTACAGTCGAACCTCTATTAAGCGACCATCTAGTTATCAAAGTCCCGAAATTATTGTCAGTTAAATACTGTAAATAAAACCCCCTATTAACCGGCCACCTCTTTTAAGCGGCTACGGCCATCCTTTCGACATCCCGATGAGGGTTTTTCTACTGTTTTTACCCCTATTAAACGACCATCAAAAATTTAATACACGTAAATTGACTTCAGATTGTTTTGGAGAAGGCGATGGCAGATTAGAGTCCGAAATAGAAGGCGACGAGTTATAAAAACATTCAAACAAACGTTTATTATGATTGTCTAGAAGTGACTTCATGTTCACTGAGAAGTTAACACGATGGTGAAAATATTCAAGGTAAACAAACCCCTATTGAGCGACCTACTCTCATTTCCCCTGATGGGGTTGGACTGTAGTATTTTCTTTCATCATAGTCCTAGCCTTGAGAAAGATTTATGTTGTACGGTGGAACTGCGCCTTACGGTCACATCGTTAATGCGGTCACCTCGTTATTAGGGCCACTTTTTCTTGTCCCGGCGAAACGCCCATACGCTTTCTTATTAGAAAACCCCGTTAATGCGGCCACCCCGTCAATCCCCAACCGGTTTAATCCTTCATTATTTTACCCTGTTCATACGGCCACTCGAACCAGTTATGCTCAACTTTCCATTGTTAATATTTCGTACACTGATGCAAGTCTCCTTTTTTTAAGTTATACCCGTATTCTGAATGCTTGTTAAGGAACATTTGTTTAGAAGTGTAATTGTGTTATATCTGTTAAGACGTCACTCAATTTAGACCAGTCGTGAGATTTGGCCCTACCCCGCTAGTACAGCCACGCCGCTAATAAAGCCAAATTTTCATGGCCCGTTGGTGACTGTATTAACGGGGTCCACCGTAAGTGGAAATATTGGCCACAGTAGACCAGCCCCTCTGCCGTAGTGCCAGCCTTGCATTCTTTATTTATCCAAGCTTCGTCACGCAGTTATGTGTTGTCACTGTGAAAGGCAACTTCTGGTTCAGTTTTGCAGAACTGCTGTTTTCTTGTTTGTTTATTTGACGGGCCAGCAATTTTTACTTCAGCGCTTCCGACGAGAGACTGGGGCGAGTTGAGCGTTATGACGTCAAAATATGCAGACTGTACGTATTAGCTGTTGCTAATTACAGCCTTATAAAACAGAACGCTGCGTGGGAGTTGGATTAAAAATAAAATTTTTAAACCAGCTAGGGTTATTCGGAATACCTTTGTAGTTTCATCTCTGGAAAAGACACGTGCAGCTGGCACAATCGATGTTTAATGGCCACTTACTACCATGAGCAGTGAGTTATAGAAACTCTAAAGAGTTTGCGTCAAGCAAGATGAGCTGATTTTCGCCGATTTTCTCAAGCTTGTCGGACGGAAGGTAGGTTAAACGCTTCCTCTGCTTACTGCCTAGCTACTAGCTTGTGTTCTGTTAATCTTTCGAAGATATAAAAATTTTAAGTAAACTGTGAAGCGCAGTGGGTGACAAACATTACCTATGTTGGACTCGATAGTTATGCCAGGTTAATAAAATCAGCACGTTAAAATCACCAAGGGAATTGAAAACACATAGAAGATGTCTCGCCACCTCGATCTCGAGTCGATATCTTCAAGTTTATACTAGACTTATGGCTTATAAACATTTATATCTGAGAAGCAAAAGGTTTATATATATATATATCTATATATTTTTATAAAACTATATTGAACTTGATGTGATATTATTTATATCGAAATTACCATTTTGCGGGAATCGAAGCCAGTCAATTAAACACTGTTTATTTAGTTCTCGTAAATCAAGGTCACCACTGACATACACTGTCCGTATCATAGGAAAAGTTACTTGATATTATGTAGCGTCTCAATTAAAATATTGTGTAACGTGTCACTTAAAAATATGCAAACGTTTTGAAAACTTGAGTGATTCCGTGCGCTATCTAGTTCACTGACCACTGACCATTACGTCACGAAATTTGATAAAAAAATATCGGCAAGTGGCAAAGAAATGAGTTGACTGTAATGAATGTGCGACAAAACGGTGAACTTCGATTTGTATTTTAGCGAATACAGAAATATAAGTTTTGTACAAGGGTTTTCTTTTTTGCGGTTGGAAAAATGTTTCAGTTTAATTAAGAGTTATCGCGGTCAGTTTTGACGCAAGCCAAGCCGAAGGAAATGACGTCCCAGGATGACATTTGGATTGTAATCGTGCTACGATATTTCTGTATTTTCACTCACTCTCTTCCGTGAATTTGTTGTTTACGATTTCCGGGCTACCCAATACAGTGACGTCAGGACCGGTTGACCAGACCGCCCCCGAGGGCTTTCCACCATATTTGGCGTTGAATGGCAAGGCTCTCACGTAATGATGATGTAATAGGACGCGGCAGGGCCGGTCCACCCCACAGTAGCAGGACAGCTCGGTGGTGACGCCACAGTGACGCGGCTGTTGCTCGCGAAGAAGAAGAAACACAACGACACGCTGGCTGCGTAAAGAAATCAGGGTGACGTAGAAGTGACGTAGCATGTAAGTTTCATTTTCTCTTTCTTCTAGATTCCAACAAGTCGACAGCGAAGGGATAATAATTTTAGTTACATTTTTTGTCGATTCCTCGAGTGGAGATTTCGGTCGCTTTGTAGTTGGATTTGCTCGAGCGATCGCGATGCGGGCCTCATCGGTTTCTCTCCTTCTGGTTCTTTGTAGAGATCACGAAACAGAAAGCTTTCCCTCGTCCCGACTTTCCTTATCCTGTAGCGTTGGGTCGTCGATTCAGACATGGAGCAAATTGAGGACCAGGCCAATGTGACCGAGATGGAAAACGGCAGCACTGTGACTGTTCAACAAGGACAGGTTCTTCAACAAAGCTCGCCGCAAACTTCGATGCCTCCGCCGATGCAAACGCCATCGGTGATTCAGGCCAACCAACAGTCCGTAATACAGACTGCTCAGTCAATACACTCCGCTTCCCTTCAAGGTCAGCAAATTAGCTTGGCCCAGGCTGTTCAAGTAAACGATCCCGATGATCCAACTGGAGGGGTTTTAGACGAAGAAAGCAAAAAACGAAGGGACATTTTGTCGAGGAGGCCATCTTACAGGTACGCCAAGAGTCCGAGAAACTGAAGAAGTTCGATCGATCGCTTCCTTGTAAATATGATCCAACCAGGCTCGTTACATACAATATGTAGTGTGATATTTCACGTGTTTAATATTCAGACAAAGACGTGTTTTTGTGTTCTTTTTCGTTCCACTCAAACATCTCGAATCAAACGTACGTGGGAACGTAAAAGCTGACGTACGATATTGCGCGAAGGTTTGCTACAAAGCACGAAATGTCGCCATCACTACGGTTCCGTTACTCCAGTCTCGTTACGTTACCCTTGGTTAAGTCCCGTCAGAGAAAGTGAGGACTCTGATTTCTTATTTACCAAAATTTTGACGGATTTGGGATTGGTTTTGACAAGAAGAACAATCCATGATCAAAGTGTTTTAACGATCGAGGTCAGTAAAGCGAGACAAACTGTTAAAAATTATGTTTCTTCTTCCTGGGAGTTAAGAGTTGTCTTATTCCTCTGTTAACTCTTGACCCTGTGGGAATATTGTCCAATGGGACGGCGGTGTAGCTGTAATTTTCTCCTTATCTGTGTATGATAAATATATAATTGTGGATGGTCGACTTTCCGTGATTTTGTCGAGTCATCCAACGGTAACTCGGTGTAAGCCTCGATCGATACAAGACTGCTGTGAGAAAACGGAAAATGATTGATTATATTTTAAAACACCAAGCTTAATTCCTTTCAACGCTTGAAGTATCATGAAAATTGAATTTTGATAAATTTAATGTCCCCCCCAATTTCAAGCAAAAAAATACATAAAAATGGTAATTTTTAAAATATCTCCAGACCCCCTACAAGTTGTACAATTCCTGCAATTTAAAATACACTCTACCATCCCTGGAGATTCAAGACTCAACTTTACGAATGAAAAAAGAGTTGTAGAAACTTAGCTGGTCCAATACTTAGAGAGAGTTATGTTGGCAGCTTGTAGTTATTTGACTGAAGATGTAAAGAAACATTTGTTACTGTATAATCTATTCACTCTTTCTCCTAGGAAAATATTCAACGATTTGTCTGGTTCTGAAAGCCCAGCAAAAGTAGAAACCATATCTGAAGATATTCAAGCTCAGAGTGACGGTACTGAGGGTGCTTCACCGATAGCTGTGATTACCACAAGCACTTTAAACTACCAACAGACACCACAGACGGTAACCATTCCAGGAACTATTCAAATTGTTACATCCGGAGAGGCACTTCAAACAGTGCCCATGGCGCAAAATTCATCTGGTGCTGTCGTACAATATCAACAACAGCAACAGGTATAACCCTGCAATTGATAAATTTAACTTGGGCAAAATAAAGTATGGTGCAAAAATCAAAATTAAGTCTTTGTGTACCGTTGTTTATGGAATGTTTTACCATTATTGTAGTTAGTAATTTTTTTTTTTTTGATTGGGCCCATTGTCCACACTAATCCATCACGAAAATGGAGCTTTTCGAAAATGCCCTTCAAACTGGAAGAATTTGAAAATTCTTGCTTTTCCTTTTTGTGGGGACGGAAAAATTTGTGAAAACGGAGCTTCTCAAAAATGATGGTGCCAAGAGAATCATGTGATTTCCCTGGAAGAGTTTACCTTGTTAGGCACAAATCCAAAATGACCGGTGATTGTTGCATTTTTAAATTCTGCTGGCATAGTGTGAGCGCAAAACTTTTGATGCTTTTACAGAGTGAAACCTCCGTTTTAAAATTCCTCTGGCATAGTATGATCCATGCCTAAAGAGAATACTATGATCTCTATAATGTTTGCAATTTTATCAGGTTACATACAAGTCAACAAAATTGTATATGCAGTAGTCCTAAATAGTTCTTTTTTTCCCTTTTATTTTGAAAACAAGAAGACTAATGTCAGGTAAATACTTTTAGTTCTAAGTTTGATTTAGGTTGTGAAGTTATAGATCTTATTTTTCACTGTTACAGGACGGTCAACAATATATTTATACAGCAAACCCAGGAGAGGTCCAAGTACAGGTTAGAGTTCTTTATTACTTTGTAAGCAATATCTTAAGTTCCAGACGTGCATGAGACCTCCATCTATCTTCTTTACAGTTAAGACTTCTTTGGGCTGCCGTTATTGTGTTGACTTTGTTTACATAACCACAATATTGGAAGTAATCTGGAATAAATAACCATGAGTAAATTTTTCAAAGGCTAACAAATTGGCATGAACCAGAAGGGCAGAGTGGGGTCTGTGAAAAATTTACCACTACTAAATTATTTCCAAATTGTTCAAGAATAATCAGGTTATTACTAACTACTACTATCACTGTTACTAGTTAAGTACTATTCTTGGAAAATCTTTGTTGTGCCTTAACACTCATATTAATCCTTGTTTTTCTGTCACACTTATTGCACTGCTGTTACACTTGAACTGCACTGCCTTTTAGTTTAGCCAATCAAAATCAAGTAAACTTTTTCAACTGTTCTTTTGATAAAGAAATTCTTTTTGACAAAGGGATATTGTCTTCAGTTACCACCAAGAAATCTCAGCACTGACATTAAAGAAAATTTGCTGTAATTTAATAATAAGGAGAAGCAGAGACTGACTGGCCTATTATGATTTGTTTTTATAGCAAGTTCAAGTAAGCAACACAGGCACAATGTACACAATACCAGCAGCACAACAGCAATACATCCGTGGACAGCTTCCACCAGGTGTTGTCCTTAATTCAACTGGTATTGGTGGAAATGGCCAACAGATCGCAGAAGATGCTTCTCGGAAGCGAGAAATGAGGCTCATGAAGAACAGGTAAGATGCTCATTAAAAGTTAGGTCTTTGCATTGGTTTCCATGCCTGATTGTTAGAGTACTGGTCCTGTGAACCTACAACCAAGTCTTTCATCTTGCCACCAGCCTTCTACTAAGGCAACCATTCTTTTTGTTCATCTTGCTGTGCTCTCCTCCACAACAGTTTCAGAAGAAGTTTGTTGGGGAGGAGTACATGATATGATGAGCCAAAATAATGCTCTGTGTAGGAGGCTGTTCTGCTACTAGCTAGATATGTTGATTGTGATTGTGCCCATGACTTCAACTCCTTGTCCACAGCCTGAAAGTACCCAAATGACTTCTTTTTATACTCCTTCTAGTCATGATTCGTATCTATGTTGTGTTCATTTGAGTGTGTTTCATATACATGTACAGAGCCCTGTAATGTGCAAGCTATATTATTTGACTTTTCCTAATCCTTCTTTTTCTAATATGGTCACTTTCACAGAGAGGCTGCCAAAGAGTGTAGGCGGAAGAAGAAAGAGTATGTCAAGTGTCTAGAAAACAGAGTCGCTGTCCTTGAGAACCAAAATAAGACTCTCATAGAAGAACTGAAGACACTCAAAGACCTTTATTGCCATAAGTCTGAATGAAATTTGTTTTACTTCACTGAAGACATTATTTAGTCAAGGGTGGTTTCCAATGACTTTTGATAGTAACACTGTCTTGCCTGAGCATGTGCCAAGCTTTGTTTTGAAAATATTGCCACAGCAGGTTTTAATCAGTCAAAGTAAAAACGTTTTTAGTTCTTGGCTGGTCGGTTGCAAAACTAAAATCAGCCTTTGTTTTGCTAGACAGCAATAGATGCTATCATTGGCTTTGTTGTCTGTCTCTCTTGTATGTCATTGGAATTCTGCTCTGAATAACTCACTCA